CATATGATATAATCTAAAATTATGCATTAGAAATTCAAATTATACTTGTTTTAAACTAAAGGTAACAAAAAAAAGGTGATGAACAGGTGCTATTTGGCTATACATCATGTAGGACACGAGTCACTGTAATAGTATAATGGATGTGTTGAATTTGAAATCAATGGTAAAAGAAAAAAACAATTCTGAGTAAAGTTATAGCAATTTTATCAGTCTATATCAGTAAAATTGTCAGAATTGAATACACCACCTGAACCATTATCAATGTTGGTATCAGGTGACACGAGGATAAAAAACTTCTTAGCGAACATTTGCAAATAAAATGCATGTGTCCAAATCATATCATTGGGGGCAATGAATTTGTGCGTGACATTTACATACCAACATTCAAGGAGCAAGGTTAAATCTATCACCATGCTAGATCATTACTACCACTGCCAGGTACGGGAAGTACTCAGACATTTTGAGATTTACGATGGAATTTTTTTTTTGCGTCGGGAAAATTTTTTTTTGAACGCATCGAAGGAAGAACAAAAAATATTGTGTATCCAAATTCCAAATGCACCTCAATAAATACCATTCAATTCAATACTTGAATTGCYAGACTTTTATCGATAAAACRAATAAAATTACATAATTATAAACTAAATTGAATATCGTTGTAAGATCATTACTTAGTATATTTTAACCGTTATCTATCTATACTATATGTATAAAAATATACTGCTAGTATAATCACAGGTAACGAATTTAACACACAGTTTGAAACATATTAGAGGTAGTATTTTTAACGGACTAYGAATTGYGCGGGTTAAGCTAGTAATCAAATAGAAATTAACAAAACTAAATAGGTAGTGTAACTTTTCAGTGAATTTTTGAATAAGGTAGAAAAATTGTTGGGAACCTTCTATTAAAATTTCTAATGTTAGCTTTGAAAAGAAAAACTTTTATGAATTTCTTAACTGAAAATAATTTTCAAAATCAAAAATATTTGTTTAGGCTGTACCAATGTTTAGAGGAAATTGCAAGTGTCTGTACCATTAATAGTTTTTGAATTACAATAAAATATCAAAAATCGATTAATTGGAATTCGTTGATATACCAGTATATCATACTGAATATGAAATATCGTAAAAATTTTAAATTCATACGAACGCTTATAAAAAATGTATGTAACAATTCAGATACATTTTTTTTTATTAAATGTAGAAACACTTTTATGAATTTATATCTAAAACCAATTTACAAATTTTCAGGAATTTTGATGAATACTTTTCAAAATCTGAACTTCAAATATAAAAAAAATCGTGCTTTGTATTTTTAGAAATAAATTAAATGTAAAGTAAATATTTTTGAACTGCTCTTTAAGAATCTTAAAATGACCCTTGCTTTAAATTTTCAATTTTTTTGTGAAAAAGTTTTTATCAACAATAATTTATATTTTTTTTTATAAAATCCGAAAAATTGTTTAATACTATAAATAGATCAAAAAGAGTTAAGATGTTTAGAAAGTGTTTTAAGATATGGAAAATGCTAATATAAATATTTGATGAACATTTCAAGCTTTTACGGTTATTTCGTATTTATTTTTCAAATACAATGAAATAAAATATATATTGTTTAATAAGCAATCGTTCATTTATGGGTCGTAAACATTTGAACTTCAATTGTTCGTAAATTGTTAATTGATTTTATTTGATACACACGCACGCACACACACACGCACACGCACACGCACACGCACGCACACACACACACTCAATTAATCCAATTATCTCACTCCGCTCAGAATCTTATTATTTTACAATCATACGGCGTACAATTATTATTAATAAAATCGAGGATACTCCAAGGACGACAAGGACTTAAAATATCTAAGATACTTAAATAATTTATTAATTTATTTTAGTATGTTTTAAGTTTTAATAAATATACTAATTTATTATTAAAATTAATAGTTAAAYGTAGGTAGGTACCTGTTGCATTACGATTCTATTAACTCCTTTGTAATCAGATATTGGTCCAGAAATTAATCTACCTATTCCCGAAGAAATGCCTATACACGTGACTAATATTTTACCATCGTTTTTTGGAAAACGGTCATCAACGAATTTCACCTGTATAACAACAGCATTGATAAAAATTAAAAAACAAATACTGTAAAATTGGAAATGGCTGAAAAAAAATGTAAGTCTTACCAAATGAACGTAAGGGACAAAGTATCCGAAGAGAGCGAGAGGAATCATTGTGGCCCAAATAACGTATTTAGGGTTCTTCCAAATGTCAATATTGACCAATGAACGGAATTCATCAGCCAAGGATTTATGCATATCCGATTTATCCACTTTATATGTAGGCTTGAACGCCAAAGCGCATACCATTAGCATGGCTGATAACGCTGCTTCCCATCTATAATAAGATTTATTACATGAATTAATTCGTTAATAAATAAAAAAATGTTGAAATACATTATCAAAATATATACAAATATAAAAGCAAGAATTAATTTCTAATACCGACTAGAATTTCATATGTATTTAAACTATTGTATTATAATTTATTGTATATTAAATACCTCTATTCTATTACCTGCATCTTAGAACCTACATAGCATGTATCTAGGTAGGCAGTGGCGTATTTATAGGGTGTTGAGGTTCAAACCTCCTTACTTCGAAATTAATTTCTATATACGCCACTGTAGGTATATTTTACTCGGGCGGGACACTTTTCGTCCAGCACACTATTTTGGTCACCAATGAAATATTCTTTTCACGTTTTATTTTTGTTAAACTACCAAAACACTACTTTTTTAATAGACTGTATAAAATAATAATATATATATAWAAAAAATTAATAAATTAATTATAGACACATTAAGATCCAATTATTTTGCATGTCTAAGTACTTTATTGATATATACGACAGCAGACACAATGATACATTGTTATACATAGGTATGTACATGGATAGAAACACACTGAAATATAATAAAATTGAACAATGATATCAACAAGAATAAGATACCTATAATAAAATATAATAAAGATAAAAGTAATAATAATAATGATA